ATTTAAGCATTTTACTCAAAGCACCATGTGAGCCCAGCCCTCACAACATAACCTCTAGAAAGAAGATTGTTTGCTTAATTAGGACCTACGTGGATGCTACAAACTGAAGGATGCAATTAACTTGTCTAACTTCTCTCAACCTGCATAATTTGTTTCTTTCATATTAAAATGTCTTATGCATTCCAGATAGTGGCAGACAAAATTAGAATCATAGAATTGTTTAGAATGGAAAGGACCTCTAAGATCTTCAAGCAAACCTAACACTGCCAAGTCCACTAATAATCCATGTCCTTAGGTGCCACATCTACACATCTTTGAAATGCCTCCAGGGATGGTGATTCCCCTATTTCCCTGATCAGCTTGTTCCAGTTCCTAACTAACCTTTCCATGAAGAAATTTTTCCTAACATCCAACCTGAGGCTATTTCCTCTTGTTACTTGGGACAAGAGACCAACCTTGCAACAACCTCCTTCACAGCGATATTGTCACCCTCCTGTGAGCCTCCTGTTCTCCAGACTAGTTTCTCCAGGAGAAAGCTGTGGGAGATGGTTCCAGAGCTTTCACTGAAGTCCAAGTAGACACTCACAGCATTTCCCTTATCCACTAAGATGATCACCTTGGCATACAAGAACAGGCTGGTGAAGCAGGACCTGGCTTTCACAAACCCATGCTGGCTGGGCCTGATCCCCTGCTTCTCCTGTACATGCCATGTGAAGGCACTCAAGATGAAGTGTTCCATGACCTTCCCCAGAGATGAAGTCAGGCTGGGAGGCCTGAGTTTCCTGGATCCTCCTTCTGACCCCTCTTGTAGATGGGTGTCATGGGACCTCCCAAATTAGCCAGGACTGCTGGTAAATGATGGAAAGTGCCTCAGTGAGCACTTCTGCCAGCTCCCTCAACATCCTTTAGTGGTTCCCATCCAGTTCCATAGTCTTCTGTGTGTGTCTACATGTTGCAGCACGTCTCTGACCCTTTCCCCTTGGATTATGGGAACTCCATTCTTCTACCCATACCTGTCTCACAGCTCAGGAAGAGTTCCAGCCAAAATTCTCTGTTCAGCTGGGCTTCTTTCCTGATGACTCAACTTTCAACACATGGGGTCAGTCTGCTCCTGTGCTTTACAGATTTTCTTCTTGAAGAATGTCCAGCTTTCCAGGACTCTTTTGCCCCAAAAAGAGACTCTGCCAATCTGTCTCTCTAGCAGGCCAAGATCTGCCAAAATCCATTTCACTTCCACTGTTCAAGAGGGGTAAGGGCTTGAAATTCTCATTGAAATCAAATGCTCAACACCTCATAAAATCAATCAAGTGATACCTCTTTGTTTCTTATAGAACTGAGATCCATGTAGGAAAAAAAATTCTGTGGCAAGAGGAGAGTATCCAATTAAAGAGTAATTATCCAATTAAAAATATGTGTGTTGGTGGTATTTATGATATAAATAATTTTCACTGGGAAAAAAAAAAACCACACAAATATTTCAAAGAGCAGCTATGCACCATTAAACAGAATTAATATGTAGTATTGTGATCATGCAATGTGAAGGATCCAGATTGTGTGATGTCTGTCTGCTGTGAAATTTCTTGGACTACAGGTCCAAATTTTCAAGATGGCTTGAGAAAAAGTTAGAATTTTATCTTTTTAATCACATGTAGCAATATTTAATCACATGTAGCAATTAATGATTATATCTATGTTTGTTTTTTTTATTGTTTATAGAGATATGACATGGCAGCTAGTCTGAAGCAGTTTCCAAGTGATATATCCTAGAAATAAAAGTAAAACCCACCAGGAAACCAGAATGGAGTTTGAAATTCACTGTGGGGTGGGATCCTGTGGTTCACTGCAATAGGTCTCAGATGGTAAGGTTTTGTAAAGAAACAAAACACACACATGTCCATGGAGAAGACAGCTTGTCACCTGTCACCTTGTACCCTGAGGTACATATTATCACTGTCTCCTGGGCAAAATGATCAACTGGAGGACATCAGGAGACACAAAAATGTGCCAGAGAATAATTCCACTGCCAGCTTATTCACCTCAGGATCTTCTGGGGAATGAAGTACCTTCTGGAGAGAAGGAACAAAACAAAACTTCTCTCATCCAAGAGAAGCCCTTTTGAAATGGAAAAAAATCCACCTTTTTTTTTGGCCCATGATTATAGAAAAATGCAGCCAATGGTGGCAGAAGAATCACTTTTCAGACACCTATGGCTAAATTTCTGGTGTCTGTGGATTCCATTGCTTAGTACAAAACTGGTGGGCTTTAGTCTTGAGATGTTTCCCAAAGCATCCCAAGGTAAAGCTGGTTTTCAAAGGACTGAATGACAAAGACAGCAGGGGAAGGGGAAGGAAGGGAAGGTTCTTGAGGCAAAATGTGAGCTGTTATGCAGAGAGGATCAATGCTTCCATAACAGCATCCTTAAAATGCTCCCACATCCAAGGGCAAGCTCAGACCAAGCTGCAGGATAAAGATTAAGCACATGCCAATTAAGCTGATTAATCCTGGGGACAAAATTAAGATCTACTAGGAAGTGGGAAAGATTGTAAACACCTGGAGTGTATGCAGCTTAAATAAATAGAATCATTTATGAGTTACCCAGGACCAAAAGATCCCAACCTGCTGACTGGAGTACCTCGAATGCTTCTTAGTGCAGTCATTTTTATCTTGTCTCATGAAGTTTTAATTACTATCCTAATCCACTTGGCTACTTTTTGATGGAGCCAATTTTTACTCTGAGGCTTTCTGAAGTTAGGTGACTCTGCTTTTAGTTCTTTGTGGTTCAAACAGGGCTTATCCTGCATGGAAAAGGTAAAATCCTGATAAAAATCAATCTTCTCAGCCTCAGGAAGGCAGTTAAATACAAAACTCTTATAAAACTGTATGAGAGCTATATCCAGTCACTTTGGAGTTAAATTTCCCAAGTCATCTGGATTTGAGCATTGTAACGATAAGGGGAGTCTTTCTGCTGACTGCATTTTATTCCCCAAAATCATGAAAGATTCACTTATACGCCAAACTTTGCATTTTAACCATGTATCTTAAATATCTGCAATGTTTGATGTATGCATTTTGTAGCTGTAAGTTAATCCAATTTAAAATTTTAAGAAATAGCTGTAAACAACTTCTGAATCACTGTGATGATGACAATGAGAAGTGAATTCTGAATAAACTTGTAGTTATTCATTTTGAAATTGCTTTGTTCCTCAGAGCATTATTTTAAAATCCTGGGAAGAGTGCTGCCAGCAGAGTGTGCCATCTTTCCATTCACGATGTGTGAAGATGGAACCAAAGTTCTATCAGTGTATATTTGCCTTTAGAAAGCAGAGTGATATCATTCAAGCAGAAATATCAGAGAAATATTCATAAAATATGGAAGTCAAAAACACCCTGGAATTATTTTGCCACTGTGCTGTTTTATATGAGACCTTAATTTAATTCAACAATTAAAAGGCATATGAATTTATGAAAAATACACTATGCTTAATATAGTCAGATATGCCAGACTGCAAATTTTACAGCAGGTTAATGCAGCTCTGAAAAGCAGTGAGATTCTATTGCCATAAACAGCAAAGTATACATAACATATGGAAAAATCAAGAAATATAAGCCAGCTCAATATGATTTCTGTGAGCACTGTGTTAATTTTTTTTTAAATGTATTGCTTTTATTTATATAAGACTAGAAATAAACTTTATTTTGTATGTTATGCTTCTGGAAACAGAGTGCAAACAAAACATTTCCAAGCTGCATAAGTGATTTTGGGTGGGTGTATAATTACTTTGATGGTCCTGGGCTCAAGATCTTCTGTTTTCATTACTCAGAACTTCAGAGTCCTTATCAGAACAAGGATTTGGGCATCATCACAGCCTGAAAAGGTTCCCTTTCCCTTTCCCTTTCCCTTTCCCTTTCCCTTTCCCTTTCCCTTTCCCTTTCCTTTCCTTTTCTGTAGTATTTTGGTTCAGGTGTCCTGGTCCACCATGCAGTGATAGCTGTGTCTGGTTGATGGCTTGGTTTCACATATGTGCCCAAACCATCTGATGTTTGACAACGGCTCTGCTGCGCTACAGGATGTATAAAGACATAAAACACTGCTCAACAGAGCCTTCGTTCTTCCAGTGCCTCAGTTCAGACATAAAAAAATAATCTAAAAGTAGTTTCAAAGTAGTCAGAGCCCAGCCATTTCACACCATAACCTTTACAGAAGTGTCCCTCTTGCCCCCTGGCTGCTGCCAGGACCACCTCTTCCCAGCCACTGCTGTCTGGTGTGTTGGTGGCCCACTGGAATTAGCCAAGGGCAGAGAAGTCAGATATTTTGCACTAACAATTGCAGTGTGTTTTTTGTTTCTCAGAGGTCAGCACTGAGACAAGGTAGTTGTTTTCATGTGACAGAAAGATTGGCATGGTGCCTTTTTGTTTCACCTTTTGTTTGTTAAGTATGGGCTTATGTTGGAGACAAAATGTGTGATGTGGGATTTGTCACTACTGCCCATGGGTAAAGATGCAATAAACTAATAAAGGCCATGCACTTTGATCTAATCAAAATAGTATGGGATATGCAAACATCTTCCAAGGGTGGCAATCCATCCTCCTCTAGGTGATTTCTGTGCTTCTACAAAAACCCCATAACTTGAAAGTAATTTCTACACCCAGCTCATGTCCCCACCAAACGCCCCAGTCAGCCAATGGCTTGGTATATACTGTGTCTGTCATCATAAAGGACACTGGCTATTAATTTCAACTCTTGAAAATACTTTAAAGAGTAAAAGTTTCCCTACAAAGGCAGTGGAGTGTGACAGGAAGAATTTAGTAGCTTGACTTTCGCAGAATTTTTAGTAGAGCTTTATTGTCAGTGATTTCTTTTCTTATTATAATTCTCCTCATTACTATTTTCACACCACTCCAAAATCAAGCTTTCAGCTGTGAATGTGTTGTGGGTGGCTGATTAAATAATGTATTTTTACAAAAATTTTGATAATAGATCTTGAATCTTTATCTTCCAGGTACCAGAGAAGGACCCCCAAAAGACAGAAAAACTCCATGAGAAAATGTGTGTCTTAAAAGGATGAGCAAGAAAATCATTCAACCACCAACTCACTAATAAAACAAATACTTTTATTATTATTCATGAACGAGCAAAAATCCTGCCGTAAATCTGCAGACCTTGTTCTGCATCTCTTAGCATGGATCGAGAGGATATACATGCTATTTACAGGAATTAAGAACAGAAGGATCAGGTTTCACTTTATTTTTATCCCTTACTTATAATTTAAATGATTGCACATCTCAAATAGACTTACACAGGCCTTAAATAATGTGCAAACTATCCATGCAAATAATTTGTCCATTAAGTGCAAGTGTAGTTCCAAATGAGGGATAAATTTCTTTTTGATTAACAGTTGTACTGAGAGTCTTGTTAAATAGGAGAAGTGCATAAACACAGTTAAAGTGCCAAGACAAATCAGAAATGTAGAGGAGAATTAGGATACCAAACCATGACTTGGAACAGAGACTGAAACCTGGGATTAAGATACATATTTTGTAACAGGTCTTCAGCCTGTGTCAGCCATTCCTGCTTTCCTGCAGGTTTAGTCATTTGTGCCTGAACCTGCACACAGCCACAGCTTGGCAGAGAATTGGTGACATGACCTATGTGAACAAATATTATTCCACAAAGGAATAACTTGTTCAGAAATTGGAAGCAAGGCAAAAAGGAAACAAAATTTGCCCTTTAAGTCAAAGATAGATACAAATACTTTGATTTAGTTAGTGTGTTCTGCTGAAAGTTTCTCACTGATGATTAATAAAGAGAAAAATAGAGATTTCATGATGCTGATAAGGATTTCTTTATAACACCTTTTCTCAGGGCTAAAAGAAAAAGCTAGAAGGGAACAAGAATAAGTAATTATTACTAAGGGTAGGTGTTAATTATCCAGTTGTGGAGGGGCATAGGAAGTATAATATAAGATCATTTTGACAAAAAAATTAACAATCATGGAGTTCAGTTATCAGGCAAAAACAAAAAGAAAGGCTGAGCTACCAGGCATTAATACAGAGTTATAGCACAACTGCTTGGAAATGCAAGGAATAGAATGAGCTGCAATTAACACAAAGCATGCCCCAAAAAAAGTTAAAGGGAAGAATCAGTTAAGATACTAAGACACTCTTCAATAAAAAGAGCACTATCAAGTAAGGTAGCATAATTTATATGTGTCAGGAAAGAAAGACCTCATCTTTAAGTATTTAATATACTTGATTCATCTGGTTCTGATGACTGCATCCCACAATACCTAAAATTGGTTGGATAATTCTCTGCACTGCTAACAATTATTTTTAGTTATTCAAGGAGAAATGTGGTATTCATTAGCATAAAACATGCTTATCTTAAAAAAATTAAAAAGGAAGAGTCAGAGAATTAAAAACCCCGGTATCAAAACCTCAGTTAACCTGAAAAAAATGCCAGTCATGATCCAACAAACTGTTTGTAAGTCTCTAGGGGAAAAAAACCCAAAAAAAATAACAAAAAGAAAAACCAAAACCAAACAAACAAGCAAAAACCAAGCAAAACAGGAAAAAAACAAGGAAATTGCAATCAGCATTAATTAATCCACCATCAGACTAGGCAAGAGTAGCCTAGACTAAGCTATTGGAGAGTGAGTGAAAGTCATCCCCTGAGAGCGACTGTGAGTGATTAACTGTAAGAAGGGAAGACTGCATTGAGTGGTCCTGCAGAGGTCTCAGCTGCATTCAGATATCTTTAATGTCATCACTGGTGCTCAGGATCTGCAGACATGACTGCTTTGAGAATAGCACCAGTCATTGTGAAGATTAGAGTTAATCATACCCTTGAAATTTGGAGATAAAACTCTGGCAAGTCATGCTGCAGGGACGAGGTACTTCATTTGATCCAGAAAAATTAATTGGACAAGAAACCAACTTTTGTCTGTTACACAGAAAAAGAAAAGGGGGATTTTTTTTAGAGATGGAAACCTGAATAAAAATTAAAAATATTAAGGAAATACAAATACGACCCTACAATGGAACATACAATTTGAGCCAGCAAAGACCAAAAGTCATTACCTCTGCTCTGCTCAGAGCAGGTAAGGTCTCCTTTGAAGAGCTGAGTTCAGTCTGAGCCACTGTACTTCAAGAAAGATGTGGACCAAATGGACAAAATTCAAAGGAGCATGGTGAAAGAGTAAAGGAAAGATTTGGTTTCAAAGTCCATAGTGATGGGACATCAAGCAAGAAAGACTGAATGTAAAAAAAATAAAAATTAAATCAAGTGCTAATTCGAGTGAAACCCTGGAAGAAATTCCTTGAAGATGTAGGGGAATCTTACTTTTATATCTTCTTCTCTCATCATTCATGTGTTTTTTACAAATACTTGATGAGAATGACATGGATAAAGTTGCAGTACCAGATGACCCTTTGAGATCCCTCCAAGCCCTATCTTTCCATGTTTCTAGGTTCTCATCTCTGGACACTTTCCTGTAATGCACCTGTTAGAAAGCAGCAAATGTTGTATTACTTTCGCTGCTTTCTCCCTCTTTCTCACTGAGTGTGGTCAGTTTCAAAGAAAAAAAAAAATAAAATCCACTGCTAAAATATTTCAAGTTGCATTTCGTATGAATTCTTTTCTTTAGCACTATGGACACCGTGTGGTGCTGCTGCTAACTACACAAATCTCATAGCACTTTGGTGCTAGGAATACATTATTGCAAGATTAGAACTGGTGCATGTCAGGAAAGGGAATTCTTCCAGCAACCCTCTAAGACTGGAAAGAGAATCAGAGGTAGGAATCACCATGTTTGCCAGGAGAGTTAAGTACTGTTTGGGGTTACTCTGAGTTTCATTAGATCCCTGGCCAGAGGCTCAGTCAGTCCTTTCTTTTACAAAATGCATTTTTCTCTGACATTTAAGCTCTGAAACCAGCAGAGTTTCATATATATCCTTTCCTTGAATGTTTTGCAAAAATCAAAGTCTCTTATTTTCATTACTGCAAGTGATTTTAATTCTGTCATTATTATAATTTGATGCTAGATAACATCTAGATCTTCATAATATGATTTAAAATCTGGAATAACTCCCTTGATTTGTGTTAAATGATTCATGTGTGGAGATAAACAGGAAAATATTCTAGCCTGCAATATCTGCTGTAAATAGTTCATTATTTAAATCCCTGTGATTTTCACTAGTCCATTACCTGTAAGACTGATGTTTTGTACTTTACTTTGCTAATATTCATCATATACAGAGGAAAACCATATGCTTCATTCTCATTTATCACAATTTTATATGATGAAAAGGAAAAAAAATACAAAATTTATAAGAAAAACAGAAAAACAAGCATTAATAGAGACCTTTATGTGTGTGATAGTTTTTTCTCCTAGAAGATAGACATATTGGTTGCCTTTGAAGGTACATTAAGGTACCAGCAGTCACAGCTATAAAACATTGTGTTTGTTTTTGAAAAAACAGTCTTAGAATACATACATCTCCACAGCATCTATGCTAATAGCAAAGCTGTGCATTTTAAAGCACAGTAGTTTGGACTTCAGTAACATTGAAGTCTGAAGACAGAGTTAAAAAAGGTCTCTGTTAGGAAATACTTACTAGTCCAGCTGCTTCAAATCTGGCCTTCAGAAGTTTGCTGTCTAGGAAAGGTAAGGAACAGCAGCTCTGAAGGACAAATTTCATTGTATTATATAGCTAATCAGGGAGCCTCATCTCATCTGTGGTTACCATCATTACAGGCTGTAAAGGGCTGCTGCTATGGCCTTCAGGGACACAGCACAAGCTTGTCCTCATAGCTCAAAAGGCAAGATTGCAGCAAAAACTGCACACTTGCACAATTGCAGCAGGAGCTGTACTTGTATTTTGCATTTGTATGTGCCCAACCTCCTTTTAGCAGAGCTTCTCTCCTCATCCCCGCTCCTTTCTTCCTCCTCCAACACATGCTGCAGAGATTTTTCTAAAGTGTCACAGAGTTCTGACATGGATGGAGGTGTCTGAACTTCACAGTCCAAAAACACCCCTTGTGCCATGTTACTAAAGAATTCAAGTTATTTGGTCTGACAAAACATGGCCACTAAAGGGAAAACAGTTCTTTTGAAATAAATTCAGGCTCATTAGAGAGCCCTGGGCATCCAACCCAGCACACAAGCCTGTTTTCAGCTTTCACACCTCTGTGACCTTGTTCACTTGAACCACGTAAGTGCTGGTGCCAGCAGACAAAAGGAGGAGGAGATGAGAAATCATAGAATCAGAGAACTGTTTAGGTTGAAAAAGACCTCTGAGATTATTGAGTCAAGCAGTTTTACCCAGCACTCTACTATTAGTCCATGTCCCCAGGTGCCACATCTACACATCTTTTAAACACCACGAGCAATGGCAACTCTGCCACCTCCTTGGGCAGCCTGTTCCAGAACTTGACAACCCTTTTTGAAGAAATATTTCCTAAGATCCAATCTAAAACTTTCCTGGTACAACCTGAGGCCATTTCCTCTTGTCCTATCATTTGTTACTTGAGAGAAGAGACAGACTCCCACCTAATACAACCAACTTTCAGGTAATTGTAGAGAGCTCTGGGCAAAGAGCAGGATTACACTGAACAAAAGTGACTGTGGACAAAAGTAGACACCAGCACAGCGTGCCAGAGCACTTGAACATCTGCAGCGGGCTTACTTTCATGTCCATCACAGACCTGTTTTCCTTAAACTATGAGTTTGTGTGTGCAACAGCTTTTTCCATGTGACTGGGTCTTCCTCCAGTAACTTCTGAAGTGGTAAGTAATCTCTGCAAGATCTGAAGGAATGGCAGCTATGTCAGCGAAACATATCCTGAAAACACCAGATAAAGCACCTGGAGGAAGAAGACTTAAATTAGTGACTTCATGGAGGTATTTACCCCAGGAAAGCCAGTCAACACAGGCCACCCTGTATGCTTTGAGGACTGCTTTGCTTCTTGCCTGATAAAGGATGAGGAGGCAGAGCTGTGGTGTTGGAAGAGGGAGGGCATGGACAAAGACCACGTGAACAGAGCATGATCACGCCTATTCATTACAATGTGATGGATGCACACCAGCTCAAAACCAACAGCAGATGGTCTATCAGTGTATAAGTCTATCAGTGTATCAGTACAGAAAAAAGGTCTAATTTAAAAAAATTAAATACTTCACCAGAGAAATAATTTTAGGTATTAAATATTACTCTCCAAATAAGTTTGTTGTTCATTCTAAAGGAAAGTAGTTTAGAATGGTTTTGGATGGAAGAGACATTAAAGACCATTTTGTTGCAATACCTCTGACATGGGCAGGGACACCTTTCACTAGACAAGGTTACTCAGAGCCCCATCCAACCTGGCCTTGAACTCTTTCAGAGATGGGGCATCCACAACTTCTCTGGGCAGACAATTCCAGTGCCTCACCACCCTCACGGTAGTGAATATTTTCCTAATATCTAATCTAAACCTACAGTCTCCTTCAGCCTAATGTCATTTTCCCTCGTCATATCACTATGTGCCTTTCTGAAATGTCCCTCTTCAGCTCTTCTATGGCACCTTTTAGGTATTGGGGGGCTTCTTGTGGAGTGTCCCCTTGACTTGCTCTTCTCCAGGCTGAAAAGCCCCAACTCTCTCATCTTGTCTGACAGGCCTCTCAGCCCTTCTCTGGACTCACTCCAACAGACCCATGCTTTTCCTGTGTTGAGGGCCCCAGAGCTGGAAACAGCTCTGCAGGTGGGGGTCTCACAAGAGCAGAGAGGCAGAATCCCTTCCCTTGACCTGCTGGCCATTCCTCTCTTGATGCAGCCTGGGATGCGGCTGGCCTTCTGGGCTGCAAGCTTACACTGAGAAGTCATAACTGAGTTTTTTGTCCACAAACATCCCCAGGTCTTTCTCCTCAGGTATCCAGTCTTGATCCAGTCTCTTCCCAGCCTGTATTTGTATTTATTGTCCCTCCCCAGGTGCAGGACCTTGCACTAGGCCGTGTTGAGCTCCATGAGGCTCAATGACCCAGTGCTCAAGCCCATGAGGGTCCCTCTGGATGGCATCCCTTCCCTCCAGCGTGTCATCCAAACCCCACAGCTGGGTGTGGTCAGTGACCACGCTGAGGGTGCTCTCAATCCCACTGTCCCTGCCCATGTTGTCAGCTAAGATGTTGAACAGTGCCAGTCCCAACAGCAGGGTTACCATTGTTGTTGTGCCTGTCCCAACACAGGGTTGTTGTTTTTTTAATTTTAATTTTTTTTTACTTTACATCTTACTGAAGCTCCTTTCATTTTCACACCTTTTTTCTTTGTTTTGAAAAAAAAAAAGCTAATTTTCCAGGCTTTTTTTAAAAAGAACTCTAAATTTAGTTTTTCTGTTAGCCCACACATCACTAAGGGTGTTCCATTCATTTATGTGCTGTAATTAAAAATCATCATTTGTGGCTTGCTAAATGCATACAGTGGAGACCCTGACAATGTCTATTGCCTATTAATATATTGCACCTTAATGTGTTTACTGTTGAGTTTAACACAATATATTTCCTGCCCTGCTCATGATTATGGAACACAAGCAATTTGACTTGGAGTGAATATTGTGTTTTATCTCAATTAATCAGAGTAAGTTTCCCACTTCAGGAGCATGTGCTGGCATGGTGAAGGTTCAGAAAAGTGCAATTCACAAAGCTACAGTAAAATAATATGCTTGGAATATTCTGGTGAGATTTTAACACTTTAGAAAAATGTTGAAGTATTTCTTACACTGTTCCATCTCACACAGGATAAATGTTATGCCTTGCTGTCCTGTTCCGTGGAAACTTTTACAGCAATTCACAGATTTCTTCCCACTTCAGTCTCTCCTATTACTTGGGGGATTTTAAGACATGTCCAGGCTTTCATTCTGTCAGAGCATGACACAGGGCTTACATCTAGACCACAAAGAAGAGGTGCAACTATAGGTGTATAAAATGAAAAATACTGCATAAAATTCTTCTTTGTTTGAGCAGCTGTTTGGATTAATATGAAATAAAATATTTATTTAGATTTTTGACATTATTTAAATTCCTTTAAAATTAATAATGTTGATATGGAAGTAGAAATACATTTTGAAATCAAATTTGTTTTGAATTACTGACATTCTTTTCCCATTTTCTGAGATATTCTGCCAGCTCTTTCTTACTTTTTTTTTGGCAGGCTAACCCTTTTTGGGAAACAAAATACTTTCACAGACTTTTTGGATTGTGCAAAGACTTCTTTTTTCAATGAAAAAATATCACCCAAATTAATTGCTGTGCAGCAGAATCCCATTAATCAGACTTGTGGGGAGTGTGTTCCTTTTTTCCCTCCCTCCATGGCCTCTAGATGTTCTTTTGAGGAATTTCTTATCTGCAAACTAAAATTGATTGAGTGCCTCTATTTCCTTAAGATCCTCTGCCTCTTATTTTTCTTTTCAAGTGGGACTGTGGCAAGTTATCACAATTCACTAAAGCATTCTGTCCTATTTACCTTTTAAATCCTGGAAATGTTCAAGTGTCCAAGCATGGAAAGAGACACTTCTGCACTTCTGCTTGGCATCAAGACACAGATAATGTTTATATTCTTAGAACAG